CAGGCTACTTCATGCTAGACGCAATCGTGAGGCCCCCTGATTGCATTTGGCATGAAACAGCCTGTCGCCTCTTATTGTTGATTGCTCACATGTTCGATCCATCCTCAGGTAGAACCACATTTCTGTTACTTTTTTTTCATCTTTGATGTTTCTGTTCCCTTTTCTTAATCTTTGAGGAGATTGTCCAGCAATCGCTGCAATACAGGAGGGTAGATATCACGTAACATTTATTTATTTCTAACGAAATTTTATTCATAATTTGCATTATTCTGACTATCGTCCTCATCTTGCCATATTTATCTTGCCATATTTATCACAACCATTCGGCCTCTGTACGCTACGGCTTTCTTCAGGTTGTTGGAATGTCGAACTGAACCCTTTATTTCGCTCGCTGGGGTAAACAATTCTACGTACCATGTTTAATGGATGTCAGTTATCAGTTATCTCCTGTTAATTCCCCTCTCCAACTTCTCCTCTGCCTTAAACAGATATTGAACTCACAACTCTTTGGGTCCTGTTACTGGATCTAACCAAATGTATCCTTAAGGACATCTGTGTATGAATTTCTGGGACTTAATATCTTCAGCTTCATTTTTTTACGAGCGACCATATTGCAATCAGTATTCTTTTCTTTATTTCCAACGAAATTTTCCTGTCTCTTAATGCTCTGCTTAGCTTTTGGAATGCATCTTTGTCCATCCAAATACGTCTTCGGATCTCAGTGTCGCACTTTCCGTCCACACAGTGTAGGAAATTGTGTGAAGAAATTAATCTTGTAACACTTACATTGTTCACTATTTTCTATCCTGTTATTCTTTTTCATGATTTTCAGGACTGTGACCCGAGTAAATTATTTAACACTCTAATTCTTGCCTGCTAAATCTAAGCCATTCTAATCTCTTGTCAGATATCTTCTGTATATCGATGACTGAAACATGGTCACTCATAAAGAACATGAAACGCAGGATCTGATGGACAATCTGTTCCGTTCCTGCACAGCTTGCGGTCTCACTAACCTCCTTGCCATGTTTCAACCTGCTCCGGATTCACTTTACATCGAACCATCAATATTTGTGGCTGGACAGAAAATAACGTTGCCAGACAAATCCACATATCTTGAGAGCACTAGAAATTGGTACTACACCATTGACAGCCATTCTAATCTCTTGTCAGATATCTTCTGTATGTCGATGACTGAAACATGGTCACTCATAAAGAACATGAAACGCAGGATCTGATGGACAATCTGTTCCGTTCCTGCATGGGTACTACACCATTGACAGCCATTCTAATCTCTTGTCAGATATCTTCTGTATGTCGATGACTGAAACATGGTCACTCATAAAGAACATGAAACGCAGGATCTGATGGACAATCTGTTCCGTTCCTGCACAGCTTGCGGTCTCACTAACCTCCTTGCCATGTTTCAACCTGCTCCGGATTCACTTTACATCGAACCATCAATATTTGTGGCTGGACAGAAAATAACGTTGACAGACAAATCCACATATCTTGAGAGCACTAGAAATTGGTACTACACCATTGACAGGAATATATCTCTTCGTGTAAATAAGGCAACTGAAGCTATCATGTCTGGTCTGAGAAAGGATTTAAAAAGTACGGAAAGGTAGCAGTCTACGAGAGTCGACTGGAATGTTCATAGAGTGACCAAGATACTCCTGCGGGGTGTATCTAAAAACTAGCGGAAACAGAACCGGTTACACATGTCGCATGAATACCTACGAACTAGTTGAACAGATTTTACAAATTTCGCCAAGCCCTTTACAAAACAATTGAGTCTGTCACATCTGCAATAAGTATTGCAAGTTACTTGCAGATTTAAAAGGCCATTTTCATTCTCACGAGAACAAAATAAATTGATGAAACTTACCTGTGATGGTCATAGTTGTTTAGTGAATCGACAAACCTCATCTATTTCCTGATTGGGAAAATATTGCTTGTGATTAAAATAAGTGGATGCATACAATTCTTGAAGGCATTATTAAGATCTTCCAAAAGAATTCAATGAGTTGTGCTAATGACAAGCAGCAGTTAAGGCGAAAATATTGGTCCAACAATTTACATGTGAAGACAATGGCAGAGTATGTCTCTCCAAGGCAGGCCTTTCTATCCATGAGAAGAGATTTATTGTATAAATTACGAGCTGGAAAGAACTTACAAATTCGGTGTGTATCAGAAATCGTGCAGAAACCGCTCCGAACTCACCGGTTACATGAACTCCACCAGCAAGTTGAAAAGAATTTACAAAACCGGCCAGGAGCTGTACATAACAAACTAGTTTGCTACATCTGCAATAAGCTTTACAAGTTGCTTGTTGACTTCCACAAGTTACTGTTGTTCTCAAGAGATATAAAGTCATTAATCAATCTTGTCAGTGATGGTCATATTCGCTTATGAGTTGACAGTGATCATGTATGGCTAGGCGTAGTTTAGATGTGACAAAGGGCCAGAAGTTTAGGGCACCCAGTGAGGATCGAAC